TGTTGTAAATATATTTGTTAAATGACATGATAACGATAAATGCATTTTCTGCTTTCAGCACCTGCTGCTCCAAATGGTAAGTGGATTTGTCCAATGAATCAATCTCAATAAACCTTAACAATTTTGAATGGATAACAGAATATTTAAGCGTACGTATGATATAAAATCCCTAGTAATCATAGAAAAGGTAAAAATGCAGCTGTTTATAGCTGCGCTATATTGAAAGCATTTTGTATAGGCGTGAAATCACACTTTGAAATAACGTATCGTAGTTTCCGTTTGGAAARARATCCCACGGTGGATTCCAATGGTAATTTTTGACCTCAATGCCTTCGATGACTTCATTGAATTCTCTGCTAAACATACTATGACAATAAGTATTTTGTTGGTAACCTTCTTAACATCAGTACACAAGCTTAAAAACCTTTCAGTTTTTTCGCTTTTGTTTCCTGATATAGATCGTTCCTGGATATTGGTTATTTCTGAATATCATATCATATATTGAAAAGGTTTTTCAAAAGCAGGCAGCACTTACAAAAAGAATGGCGGAAGGATGATTATAGTACAAGCGGTATATATCCATGAAGTATTAGTAAGAGGCGATTTATTCTGTTGTTGATGCACCAGTCGAATGTTCACTTAAAAATCCATATATGTATTATTCATTTAGTATGCAAAAATTATAAAAATTTTTGTGTCGCTGATAGCAAAGCGTCTTAAATGGCGGCACGTGAAGACGTAAGTGCATATACTCAATGCAACACTCACATACATGTTATTTGCTTAGAATGCAAAAGTTACACTACATTGACCGATGCCGATCGGTCCAAAAACAGTCCGTTGAAGAACCTTAAATGTGACCAAAATGGTTTCGTCAAAAAGTGGTATCGTTTTATGGGTGCTGCAGGCTCAGCCATGCCAACAAGCTGTGTCCCTAAGAACCACTGTGGAACACATGCCCCTGGATGGTTGGAACAAGCTCATCCTACCCAAGCTCAAGGAATTGTGACTCGTAAAGTATGCTACCACTGGAATAATAAATGCTGTCACTGGCATAACAATATCCGTGTGCGCAACTGCGGTGGATTCTACGTTTACGAACTGACTGGAACACCACACTGTCATCTTCGCTACTGTGGAAACGGTTCTGGTGGCGGACCAGGTAAGAGCATTTAAAGGCACACGAGCAGCCAAGAACCTTTGCATTCGTTTCTTTTCTTTTAGAAATGATCTCTTGTTGAAAGGTGTTTTCTGATTGGTTCAAAATCAA